GGGGGGGGGGGGGGGTATTAAATCCTGTTACACAACAGTAACCGTAAATCCATTCCTTATCCAGCAGATGTCTTCGATTATGAAAAACGTTTATCCTCCAACTAAGAACAATTACTTTTAAGAAAATCGACTCTCTTGCTCCGTTTATACCAAGGTTGTTGTGCTTCAGCAGAAGTGTTTTCGAATCACAGGATGCGTCCGTGAAAGTCTGAGCATGCTCAGAAGACCATCCTATTTCCCCCCTCCATTTTTTTTAATGAGCGCAACACTGAGGTAACTTTCGGTCAAAGCCTGCTCCACGCAGCTGACTTCAAATACAGGATGATGTAAATGACGCCCCTCCCCCCCCCCCGCGCCGAGAAAAAATAAACATAAACCTCTCAAGTCTAATCACTCCATTTTGTTACAATCCATTACAGTCCTAAATAACTTTGGAGGCTTTCAAAGCCCCGAAGTGAGAGAATCTGCCGCCAAGCCAATGGTCAATAAATTACATTATTGGATCTACGTTTCGAAACTTACAGTACACAGTCTTGTGACTGACGTTATTAGACATTTCCGTGTCAACTATGCGTTCAAAAAGCACGCAAGCCAGAGACAGAAAACATCGGGCAAAAGGGGAGAGGCGTTCGCTTACCACAACGATTTGCGTGCCGGGAAATCAGGCAAGAGGAACGGGGAAGGATCCCTCTTCTGACCCTCCAATTAGATCGAGGACTGAACCGCGGCGAGAAGAGTCAGATGCGGGAAGCAGCCGCTACCCCGCTCCGTGCAGGCTCTCCCGGTGGTCCCTTCTAGAGGGGAAAGAGCGGCGTCCTTTCCCTCGCTAGCCTGCACCTGCGTGAACTCCGCGCTTCGAACTCGCCCCCTGCCCCCCCCCGGGGCTTTTAAGGCCTCCGCTGAGAATCACGGGCCCGCTTACGGAAGCTGGACCAAGCGTCCGGTTCCAACAGGCCGGGGGGACACCGGGACCAAAGAACCCCGGCGCGGAAAGTTGGGGCAGGAGGAGTTCCGCACGCCTTCGGACTCAAGCGACACTTTCTGCCAGGTCCCCAAATTGCAGCCTTTTGCGTTTTTAATTCCTCCCACGACTTTCGAGCTCCTGGCTTCCTCCGGGGGCATTCAAAATGCCTACCGCAAAGGTGTGCAGGGTAAGATCTTGCTATGATTATCAGAGGAATGGCTCCAGTTTCGAGATGCTCCGACGCTGCGCCTTATACAGGAAGGCGGGGAGAGAGAGACGCCCAAAGCATCTACTTACCAGAACGGCACCCACGGAGAAAGCTGCCATCAGACATGCCATGTGCCCCAGCGGAGAGGCTGCGATCACGGCAGGAGAAGGGGGAGAAACAAAAAGGGAAGGAAGGAGAGGGTGGGAGGGAAGGAGAGGAATCCGCAGCAGCAACAGAAGCGCGGCGGCGGCGGCAACAGCGCCCGCAGCGAGCCAAGATCGATCGGCTACTGAAACCGGCACTGGGAAAGCAAAGGCAAGCGGCCCCGGTCGAGATACCGGCAGCTGCCTCACGCGGGCGGCTCTATCTCGGCATCCTACTGGCTCTCCCGCGGCTCTCTCTTGTTCCCTATTGGCTGAGGAGCTGCAGGGGGCGGAGCTTGTTTTTTTAGGGTAAACGTGCTCTTGTTTTCCCTCAGCCTCTCGTCGCTTCGCTCCGCTTTAGATCGGCTTGGAAGCGCTTCCCCGCCCGCCCGCCCGCCCCACTTGGCCGGTTCGGCGAAGGGAGGGCGCGACGGTAGCCTGAAGCCGACACTTTCGGACCCAAGTGGCAGAAACCAGGGATAAGGTTTCCAAAATAAAAAGTAACGGGGGGGAGGAGGGCGGGGGTCAGAGATGATTTGACGCTCGTGTTCTGCATCTTCCCTCAGCACTGTGGCAAATGTAGGTCATGCTGCAGTTATTCTTTTTTATATAACTATTATCTTAAAAAAAAAAAAAGAACAGTAAAAACTAACAAGAACTAATATTAAGAGAAAGAATAAGAAGAAAGAGAAGAAAACTGAGGAAAAAGAAAATAGTAAAGATCAAAAGTGCAGAAAAGAAAAAGACAAAAAAACAAAAACAAATATTGACTTCCAACCCTCCTTGCAACAGATATAAGTAACAATATACATCAAACTCTTACTCTAAATTTAAAACATAACTTCCATTATTTCTGTTAGCCCATATTATTTCTAATCATCAAATCCATACAATGTAATTTCATTTTTTCTGTTTCCTGCAAAAAGTCCCAAAAAGATTTTCAGTTAGCATTAAAATTACACAATGTCTTATTTCAAATCAAAGCCGTTAATTTTGCCATCTCAGCCACTCCATCATCTTCACCATCCATTCCTCCACTGTAGGTCATGTCTTATCTTTCCACCACTGTGCATATAAAAGCCTTGCTGCTGTTATCATATATAAAAACAAAGTTCCTTGAGTTTTTTCCAACTGTTTATCCATCCATACATTCAAAGTACTTTTATACATATTAGACAGTTTTTTCTGGTGACAGAACCACTATGTACATTTTCAGAAGAACAGTAAGTTCCCAAATTTAGATCAGTACTCCAAACAAGTTCTGTGTTTCAGCCCTGTAAATAGCGAAGTGGAATGAATTCAATTTGATTAATCCCTCTGGGAGATTGTTTATGTTGGGGTGGAGTGGGGAATTCATTTATGGGCAGAATTGTTTGCCTGATATTTTTAAGGCATAAAATATCTTTGGAGGGAAGGTATCCTTGCTGCTTGTGAGTTTGGAAGATTTAGGGTGGCTTCCTATGAAATATGGCACTAGTGTTATTCCTAGGTGGTGGTACTCTGACATTTAAGATGTAAATTGCAGAGGTTATCCTTAGGGTAGATTCCTTGCTGTATTGCTGCTTATGATTGATAAGTTATCTTACAAATTGATGTGTGGATGTTAACAGTGTTAATCAGGGATGTTAACAACTAGCCACAGTGAATCATGTATGCAATTGTGCACCAGCAGCACTAATGTAAGAAAAAAACCAGTTGAAGGAAGATTACAGCACTGGTGCTTACTTCCCTAATGCTGTATCTGTTTATCTTCATGTGGGCTGTACTATCATTGTTACTTGAAAGTCTAAAGAAGTGATAGAAAGGAGAGTAAGTCATAATGACTACATTAGAACTTCCTCAGTTGTTTCCTGTTCTGAATCAGTGCATTATTTTAATATCTCACACTTTATTTGAGGAGTCCAGGGACACATGTAGTAGAGCAATATTATGTTGGCATCTTTACAAACACATGCTATATAAGCTACTAAAAATAAACGAAACATTGTTTTATAAGTGCAGTGGATGATCCTTAATATATGAGAAAATAACCTTGGGGTGCAGTACAATGCTCCTTACTCTTTCAAAGGAGAGACCCTAAATGATGCTAACACCTCCATTGCTTTGGGAAATGAAGATATACTGACTCCTGTTACAAATATATCTGAACACTGCAGAAAACATTCCACTGCTAAGTGGCTTCATCAGCAGAGTTCCACTCATGGATCTCTCAAAATGGAATACAGTTGTTGGTGAGATAAAGACAAAATAATTTTCATTGATTACAGTGTAATGCAGCTGCAAAAAAGGCCAACAACATCAAGAGGTACATAATGTACAGAATGTGGGAAGTAATCCCACTCTACTCCGCCTTGGTCAGACCTCACCTGGAAGTATTGTGTTCAGTTCTATATACACCTATTTAAAAAGGATATTAATAAACTGGAGCAAGTACAGAGAAGGGCTACCAAGATGATAAAAGAACTGGACACAATGTCGTATGAGGAGTGATTAAAAGTCCTAGTATGTTTACCTTGCAGAAGAGAAAGTTGAGAGGGGACATGATAGCTGTCTTCAAATACTTGAAAGGCTGCTACATTGTAGAGGGCTTGGACTTATTCTCACTTGCTCCAGAGGGTAAGACTAGAACTAATGGGATGAAACTCCAAAGACGTAGATACAGATTAGACATTTGGAAGAACTTTGTGATGGTAAGAGCTGTTGATCTGTGGAATAGGTTACTGCATGGTGTGGTTTCTTCCCCTTCATTGGAGGTTTTCAAACAGAGACTGAATAGTCATCTATCAGGGATGGTGCAGTGAATCCTGCAGTGGGCAGGGGCTTGGAATTGATGATCTCTTAGGTCCCTTCCAACTCACAGTTGGCTGAATGACTGTACCCAAAGAGTGTTTAATAAGGGTGCCCCTTCAACTTGGAGGGAAGTATATAGTGGAGTACCATAGGACTGTGTCCTGGGCCCTGTGCTGTTCAACATATTTTATCAATGACTTGGATGAGGGAATTGAGGAGATACCTACAAACTTCGCAGATTATACAAAACTGGGAGCAGTAGCTAATATTAGATGAAAAAGAAGATTAAAAAAGAACTAAACAGGCTTGAGCAGTGGGTGAATTCAGCAAGGAGAAACAAGTTCTGCACCTGGGTAGGAAAAATGTGAGGCCCAAGTATAGGACTAGGAAAACCTGCCTTGGCAGTAGTAGGTGTGAAAGGTATCCTTGTTGACCACAAATTAAACGTGATCCAGCAGTGTAATAAAGCTGCTAAAAAGGCAAATGCCAACTTGGGGTATATTAACAGAAACAGAATCAAGATCACAGGAAATTATTCTACTCTGTTGTAGTCAGATCCCATTTAGACCATGTGACAACTTGGAGCAAGTTCAGAAGAAGGCTACCATGATGATGAAGCGTCTGAAATCCATGTATAAGGAGTGATTAAAGGATCTGGGTATGTTTAGCTTACAGAAGAGATGAGTAAGCAATGTCCAGTTGTCTGAACCCCTTCATGGATCACTGCCTTGTCGTGGCGAAGGGGCTTGCGTAACTCAATGAAGCCA